CTCCGCCTCCCCGGCTTTGCTCCAGGTGTCCCTGGTCTGCTGGAGACGGTCCCCAGCAGACCAGGGGCACCGGGAGCAGCTTTTCTCGCCCCGGAGTTCGAGGTGGCTGACCACTGCCTGTGAGCTCCGGGGCGAGAGAGCCCCGTTCGTAAGTGCGGATCCGACGTAAGTCGGGGACTGCCTGTAGTTTCAATTGCCACCTGGCATACTGGCCTAACCTTTTTCACCTTGGGACGGCTGCATATCGGTGGTGGATAAAGCAATCTCTCTATCTGTGTTTGTGATCCTTCACGATGAACAATACTGTCTCAAGAGGTAATTTATTCTTTTCCCCTATATTAATCTACAAAACAAATTGAGCAGCCCCTGTTGGAGATATAGAAATGAGGTCAAGTATGGAAGCGTGGCCAGCAGAAGGTGCTGTTGCATCTAGTTCCACCGGTCCCCTCCACCTGCTCGCTTTCTCTCACTGCTCCGCTTTTGCAGGAAAGAACAGTTGGGTGACGAGAGAACTTTTGCAGGCCAGGAAATGAGTTGTGGTATTAGACTGCATGGTGTCTCAGCTCAAAGGCATCTCTGTCTCTCAGCCGAAAACCAAGGCTGAACAAAGGAGCAGCCTGAGAGAGAAGCACAATCAAGATGTTTGAAAAACTCCAGAATACGTAGCGGAGAACAGTCCCATTCTGCCGTGTAAAGGGAGCAGGAATAGAGGGTGAAGCGGAATAATCCACGTTTATTGGCGAGGAGATGGATGGATTTCTGATCTTCATGCTGTCTGGCTTCTTCTGAGTCTGTAAAGTAAGTGCTGTTTGTTTCTTACCAAGCAAACCGGGTGTCCCCTTGTCAACTTCTGGCTGTTAAACACTTCTGCATCTCTGTATGTGAGCCAATTTTGTTCAGAACCCTGCAACTATTGTACATAGAATGTTAGGCTGCCACTGCTGGGATGGGAGTGCATTGGTCAGGTTACTTAACATGTCCATGTGTTAGTTGCTTGCCAGTGAGGGCTGCCAGCTTTGTGCAAATTACAATTTGTAATCCTTGGAGCATCTGCGCTAAAGAGCACAAAAGGTCTGCTGAGCTTAATATGGTGTATTTGGCATTCGATGACTGGAACTTCACAGCCGTGCAAGTGACACCATGTTAAGTGCCGTGAGGGCTGTTTAATTGCCTAGTGCCTGATTTTCAGAAATCCTGAGTTTGGAATTGGTTGAAATGTGGAGGCTCAGTACAGAGAGGTAGGAAAGAAGAAAAATCAAGCCCCTGATTGTTTGGGGTGTGCCGCCGCCTTGTAGACATTCCCAGCATTACGGACCACATCGAGGTAGTTAGGGGTGGAAAGACTGAACAGAAAGATAACAGCAGGTATCTGGGACTTCAAACTGTAAATGGAAACATGGTGGGAAACATTCCAAAGCAGGTGAATGATTCTAGTTAGCTGCCAAACCCATCTCTCTAAAAGCGCCACGTCGTGTTTTGGAATCTGGCTTTCTAGAAGCATAGCGATGAGAATTCTCACCAGGATTGCTATCTTGCTGTTTCCAGCCTGATGTTTGTATCCAAAATCTCTAGCAGTGCCTGGCACTTGTTTAAAAATGCCCTTAGTTCAGCAGAACCCATTTGAGCACCTCGGCCAGCAGAAGGGAGGCACAAAATAAACCCATTTCTGAATCTCAAAGTTTCAGCCAGTCTTCCCTAGGGTGAAGAGAAGGGTTCAAGATGGGGGAATCCAGCCAAATATTTAAAGCCACAAGTGTCTTTAGCAAAACGTCTATTTATTTTCTCAATTTTTTAGTGTAAACCGCAGCACCTGTGCTGTGATCAGATAAGGGGGCTGAGCCTTCAGGCACCTCGTGTTGGATCCTCATTAGCAGTTGGTGCTGGCCTAGCTCTGTGTGGCAGTCCTTCAGAGCTTAGCCAGGAACGCTTCTGAAAACCCCACCGTATGAGGAGCACTAAGCACTGCAATGGGGAATGCTTGTGCTTTTGTGTCCATCGCCCTAGCCCTTCTGAGACTAACCTTCAAACGCCCCCTCATGCATTAGACAAAGTGGTCACCGCGAGCCTGCCCATCTCGTCGTCTTCAGTTGCTGAATGGCTGGCCACGAGCTAGTATGCTCAGGTAAGGGTTGAAAGGTTCTTGTAGGATTCGCTTGGGCTTTATCGTCATTAACCTCTTGTGATACAGCCCAGGGCTGACGACAGCTCTTGTTGAAGTTCACCTCCGTGGCTGGTTTTGCTGTTGTTGAAAGTAGAAAGTTGATAAGTAGAAAATCTTCCCCCCCCTCCTCCAATAATGCTCCTCAACCTGAGTCCAGGAGAGCTACATCAGCACCAGTCCAGCTGATGGTCACCAGTGGTGCCCGACTTGGAACCTTCCTTTCCTCCTCAAGTAACAGTTGAACAGCTATGTTTGGTGATTTTGTGTGCTCCTCTCTTTCAAGCTGCTGTTTCTTAGAAGTAGATTCATGGTCATAGATTTTTTTTTTCCTACCAGCAGGAACCATTAGATCATTTGGTCTGACCTTTTTTTACAGCACCTCAAGAATTGCATCTCATGCTGAAGTTCGTTTCATGTAATCTTGCAGCCTCGTCGGATGTAAACCCTTCTTGTTACTGCCACACACAAAAAACCCATGGAGGAAAAAAATCAACAGCAATGAGCTATTTTCATGCTTGATTAGCACCTATCTTTGCACACTTTCCCCGCTCATTTTCATAGCGGCAGGGTATATCTGTACTCTGGACACCCGCTCAT